AGTCAGGCCCCCAAGCCAACTGCTGGGCCCTCAGCTGGGGTCCTAGGAGGCGGTCCCAGGGGCATCCTCAGGCTCCCCACTCCAGTCATAGGAAAGGGAAAGGGGCGGGGCGCAGCGTGGGCCGGGCCAAGGGCTCCTCAAGTCCCCAGGGGCCTAGGCCAGCCTCTCGACTCCCATCCCAGTGCAGGTCCCGGCTGATCCAGGGCCCCAGGGGGGTTCCATTTTGAGAGACCCCGCACCCCAGCCCGGCGCTCCGGCCGTCTCCGCACTTACAGACCCGGGGGAAGGCCGCCGTCAGGATCCGGCACCGCCAGGAGCTCCGGCCCCTCGGGGCTCCGGGAAGGGGGAGGGGCAGGGAACCCGAGCCAAAGGGGGACCCAACGGAACCGGAAGGGCAGCCCTGGCCGGACAAAGACAACTTCCAGGTCCCATGGTCCTCTCCGCCAATCGGAAGGCTCGGAGGACAACGGGGCCCCGAGAGGGAATTTCTGCGTTGTGGGCGGGGCGCAGACGCAGGGCGCCGTACTCTCGGCGCTAGCTTCACTGCCTACTACCTCGAGGTGCGGTAACCAGTTAGCGTCTGCGGCTCAGGCCCTGTGCTCCTCGCAGGGACCTGCTGCCCAGGACCCCAGTCTCAGCGGCTCTTCTGCAGCTGGGCCTAGACGCTCCGCTGCCTCCTTGGGCCTGAGGGGCTCCTCTGTACTTAAACTTTGGTAAGTCCTTCTCGCCTAGGGGTGTAGACTTGTCGCTCGCGAGCCCGAGGAGCAGAACGCTGTCCCCTCACTTTTGGATGTTTTTCAGGGATCTTGCCTGGGGGTTCTTCCGAGGGCAATCTCTTGCATTCCCATGGCTTCCGTTACCTACTTCATGCTGACCATTCACAACCCAGCCAGCTACATGGACGAGATCTCCAATTGATTGTTCTGATGTGAATGTACCTTTTAATTATCTCCAGTTCATCTCATCTCCTATCCAGACCGGAAAACTTGAGGATCCTTCTAGAGTTCTTTTCCTTGCCAATCCAGTTTACTGGTTTCTGCCCATTCTTTTCGTTTTTGGTGGTGGTGAGGGGCTTTTTATTGTGGTAAAAGATGCGTAATGTTTATTACTTTAATCATTTATAAAGTGTATAAAGCTCGATGGTCTTGAACTCTGGAGTTCAAGTGATCCGCCCTCCTCAGCCTCCCAAAGTGCTGAGATTACATGTGTGAGCCACTGCTCCCAGCCTTTCCTCTTTTTAATGTAGTTATTTACAACTATAAATTTCCCTTTGATCACTGCTTTCACTACAGCTCATAAGTTTTGTATGTTGTGTTATTTTCATTCATTTCTATGTATTTTCGAATGTCCCTTTTGATTTTTTTTTTTTTTTTTT